GTTTCCTTGTAGATTTTCAGTCTGGTTGATCTTTCCATTGATGTAACTGGGGTGTTAAAGTCCTCCACTATTTTGTGTTACTGTCAATTTCTCCTTTTATGGCTGTTAACATTTGCCTTATATATTGACGTGCTTCTGTGCTGGGTGCATATATATTTACAATTATTATGTCTTCTTCTTGGATTGATCCCTTGATAGTTATGTAGTGTCCTTCTTTGACTTTTGTAACAGTCTTTGTTTAAAGTCTATTTTGTCTGATATGAGTATTGCTACTCCAGCTTTCTTTTGATTTCCATTTGCATGGAGTACCTTTTTCCATCCCCTCACTTTCAGTCTGTGTATGTCTCTTGTAGACAGCATATATACAGGTCTGTTTTTGTATCCATTCAGCCCATCTATGTCTTTTGGTTGGAGCATTTAATCTGTTTACATTTAAGGTAATTATAGATATGTATGCCATTTTGTTGATTGTTTTGGGTTTTTTTTTTTTTGTAGGTCTTTTTTCTTCCCTCTTTTGTTCTCTTGTGATTTGATGACTATCTTTAGTGTTGTGCTTGGATTCCTTTTTCTTTTTTGTGTGTATATCTATTGTAGATTTTTGGCTTGTGGTTACCATGAGGTTTTGATATAGCAGTCTATACATAAACATGATTGTTTTAACTTGCTGATCTCCTAATTTCAAATGCATTTTAAGTATCCTGCATTTGTACTTGCTTCCTTTCACAATTACCGGTTTTGATATCATATTTATGTGTGGATGTGATTTCCTACCTTTACTGTATGTTTGCCTTTACCAGTGAGCTTTCCCATTTCGTAATTTTCTTGTTTCTAGTTGTGGCCTTTTCTATTCTGCCTAGAGAAGTTCCTTTACCATTTGTCGTAAAGCTGGTATGGTGGTGCTGAATTCTTTTAGCTTTTTCTTGCCTGTAAAAGTTTTGATTTCTCTGTCAAATTTGAACAAGAGCCTTGCTGGATAGAGGATTCTTGGTTGTAGGTTTTTCCCTCATCACTTTAAATATATCATGCCACTCCCTTCTGGCCTACAGAGTTTCTGCTAAAAAAATCAGCTGATAGCCTTATAGGGATTCCCTTGTATGTTATTTGTTGCTTTTCCCTTGTTGCTTTTAATATTTTCTCTTTATTTTTAATTTTGTCAACTTGATTACTATGTGTCTTGGTGTGTTCCTCCTTAGGTTAATCCTGTATGGGACTCTCTGCACTTTCCAGACTTGGCTGACTGTTTCCTTTCCCAGGTCAGGGAAGTTTTCAGCTATTATCTCTTATTTTCTCAGGCCCTTTCTCTCTCTTTTCCTTCTGGGACTCCTATAATGTGGATGTCATTTGTGATTGATGTTGTCCCAGAGGTCTCTTAAAATGTCCTCATTTCTTTTCATTCTTTTTTCTTTATTCTGTTCCTTGGCAGTGATTTCTACCACTCTGTCTTCCAGCTCACTTACTCGTTCTTCTGCCTTATTTATTCTGCTATTGATTCCTTCTAGTGTATTTTTCATTTCAATTACTATATTCTGTAACTCTGGCTGTTCTTTATATTTTCTAACTATTTGTTAAAAACTTCTTGTAACTTCTCACTCTTTGCATCCATTCTTTTCCTGAGTTCTTGGATCATCTACGATCATTGCTCTGAACTCTTTCTCGGGTAGATTTGCCTATCTCCACTTTATGTAGTTATTCTACTGGGGTTTTATCTTGTTTCTTTTCTGGAACATATTCCTCTGCCATCTCATCTTGTCTAAATTTCTGTTTGTATTTTTTTTTTAAAGATTTTTTGTTGTTTTTGTTGTGGACCATTTTTAAAGTCTTTATTGAATTGTTATAGTATTACTTCTGTTTTATGGGGTTTTTTTGGCTGTGAAGCACGTAAGATCTTAGCTCCCCAACCATGGATGGAACGTGCACCCCCTGCATTGGAAGGTGAAGTCTTAACCACTGGACTGCCGGGGAAGTCCCACTGTTTGTATTTTTATGTATGCAGCAGGTTAGTTATGTTTCTCGACTTTGGAGAAGTGGCCTTCTGTAGGGAATTTCCTCTGTGTCCCAGCAGTACACTCCCCTCTCATCACATGAGGGCGAGTGACCAGCTGATCCCAGGAGAATGTCTGACCTGTGTTTGCATATTCAGGTTCGCAGGCTGCAGGATTGTAGTTTTCTTGCTTCTGTTGTCTGCCCCCTGGTGGGTGAGCCTGGTTTAGAGGCTCGTGCAGCCTTCCTGGTGGGAGGGCCCAGTGCCTGCCCACTGTTGGTTTTAGCTGGGTCTTGGCCATCTGGTGGGGCAGGGCTGTGTCAACTGCTGTGTCTAGAGGTTGCTGTGGGCTCAGGAAGTCCTTAGGCAGCCTGTCTGCTGGTGGGTGGGCCTGTGTTCCCGCCCTGTTGATTGTTTGGTCCCAGCACTGGAGCCACAGGCTGTTGGGTGGGGCCAGGTCTTGGTGCCAAAACGTCGGCCTCTAGGAGAGCTCACACTGATGAATACTCCCTGATACCTCTGCCACCAGGTCCTTGTCCCCAGAGTGAGTCACAGCAGCCCCTCACCTCCCACAGAGACCCTCCAAGACCAGCAGGTAGGTCTGGCCCAGGATCCCATGACGTCACCGCTCTTTCCCTGGGTCCCAGTACACGTGAGACCTCACATTCACCCTCCAAGAGTGGAGTCTCTGCCTCCCCCAGTTCTGTGGAGTGCCTGCCATCAAGCCCTGCTGGCTTTCAAAGCCAAATGCTCTGGGGACTCCTCCTGCCAATGCTAGACCCTCAGGCTGTGGAGCCTGACGTGGGGCTCAGAACTCTGACTCCTGTGGGAGAACTTCTGCGATATTATTATTTTCCAGTTTGTGGGTCACCTCTGGGGGGGTATGGGATTTGATTATATTGTGAGCACACACCTCCTACCATCTCATTGTGAGATCTTCTTTATGTCTTTGGATGTAGACTTTCTTTTTTTGTTAGACTCCAGTCTTTTTTAACAATGGTTGTTCAGCAGTTAGTTGTAATTTTGGTGTGCTCATGAGAGGAGGTGAGCTCAAGGTCATTCTACTCCATCACCTTGTTCAGAAAGCTGTGGCTTAACTTTTGATTATTAAATGGATTAAATAAAAACTCTATCATGACTGTATGTTCAAGAATTCCAATCTCTGGGAATGTCTTTCTTTTTTGTCTTTCCAAGAGGTGATTATTTTTCTCCCAAGTGCTGCTGGGGAGTGTTCTCTACTGTGACTTTTCTGGAATTTCACAGAAATATAAAATGTGAGGGCTTTGCCTGCGTGTGATTCATAGGCAAGCCGTGTCTCCTTAGGAAAGTTTGAATCATATTTTCAATATACATTTTTTAAAACTTTTATTATTGTTAAGCGTTTACGGCTGGCTCTGTTTCTTCTCGTCAGCTTCTCACCCTTTCAAGGTGATATCATGTACCAGACCCCAACTCAGAGAGAGGGGCCAGGCTGCAGTTGGAGGTGGACAGTCCCCCTGTTGAGGGCATGGCTGAAGAAACAAATCTCTGGAGAGGCTGAGGAACTGTTCTTTTAATTCCTTGGTAGTTAAGGATGTACTGCACTCATTACCTCCAAACTTCTGGAAGCCCAGTCATTTACCACAGTGCCCTATTGCTTTATCATAGGAGAAAAGCTATGATAAAGGAGGTGACTGAGGACTTAAGTCTAAGCCCCAGAACTGTCGCTGAGTCAGCTTGGTTAAGTCACAATCTCTAGAATATAAACTGTGGAAAGGAACAACCCGATGTGAAGTATTTTCTATGCCTAGGGAGTGGGATAAAGTTGTGCAGTGGTCTTACAAGATGCTATCTTTAGTCATTAAGATCCGATCACTTCTGCAGTGAATGGGTAGTAGATGTATGATGGCTTTGATGAATTATGGTTTTCTTTGCTATTTCTGAGAATGTTGTAGCTTAGCTGTGTCTGAACATGAACACCAATTTACAAGATACATGAGTCATGGAAGAGCCCCTTCCAGCATCCTTCTCCAAAGGGCCGGGCCAAGCCTGCAGCCAGACATTAGTCAGTGATTGTCAGAGACCCGCATGCAAAATGTAAATGCCACCTGAATGTACTCTTGTTCTCTTTTTCCTGACGAGTAGATTCTCACTTCACTGAGACTCTACTGTGTGTCAGACAGTGTGCTAAGGATAGCGAACAGGACATGATCCCCTGCCCTCAAGAGGCTCACAGTCTGTACAGTGGAGACACATAAGCAAACAGGAAATTGTGGCCCAGCGTGATAAGCCACATCTGGTGGAAAGTGCCGGGCCCAGGGCCTGAGAAGAGAGAAGTTAATGCTGGAGTTAGAGCTGCCACAAGATGAGTCAAGAGGAAGAAGAACAACGGAAATCTACAGTAAATAGTGAGGCACCTGTATCCTAAAGAAGAAAAATTAGCTCACAGAGGTCAAAAGGGGCCCCAGAGTCCCCTGTATACCGGAAGTGTTTTGCAGGGGGCTGGCCCTTACTGTCAGGTTCAGGAGCAAGGGCTTCCAGATGCAAGAGAGGAGCTAGTGGGAGTCCTGGTTTCTGCTCCTAGCTTGGATGCTCTCTGCCTATTTTCTCAGACTCAGTTTCCCTATCTGAAAATAGGTTTAGAACTGATGATCTCTGCAAGCTATCTTCTGGGTGGGACATCCTATGGCTGCTTAATATTTGAAAGTGGTACAAAACAGCATCACCTCAAATGTTCACTGCAGGTTATCTCCCTGTATATGTTGTTGTATCACTTTATGATATAATTAGTTTTGCTTGTGTACCCATTGTAAACAGCAGAGTATGAAGGGGGTGGATGTGAAAAAAAAAAAAAAAGGGCAAGCCAGAGAGAAAAACAAAAAAGAGAATGGATTGGGAGTGTGCGACTTGGGGTGGAAAATGACACCTCTTTTAACTCTTGACCACTTATCATGCCAAGGCAACCCAATACTGTCCTGGGATGGGATGGATGAGGGCCACTCATCCTTCACAAATTTTATACTTCTTCTATCATCCTCAGTGTACAACATCTAAAACAAGGATGCGCATTAGTTAACTGGAATCTGACGCGGATGAAATCCAAGTCCCACTTCCATTGGATCTGAGCCACACTCACTAAGCAATGACACAAGACATGAAGCATGTGGAGTGAGAATCGAGTGCATAAACAAGGCACTGGAATCTTGAAGGATCTCAGTGAAAGAAGCTGCCAGCCTCGTCACCTTAATAAAGCCAGCTAGACCAGGTGAGGGTGGAGGTGTGTGCATGTGTTTTTTCTCTAAGTATCTGTTTTGTTCCTTGAGTTAAAAAGCAACCAACAGCCTGTGTCTGTCTTAAAAATAAAGAGAACACCCAACAATGAAAGATGTGCCAGAAGGAAAAAGAAGAGACAGTAGCATAAAAATCTGTGAAGTGGTTGTGTAGATGGAGGAGGGGAAGCTGATGTCAGTGAGGGTGATGGGGAGGAATCCTCTTTCAACAAATATTCAGAGTTTCGCAGTTGGCTTTGCACTCACTGCTGGACACTCAGAGATGAAACAGTCAGTCACTGTCCTGCTAAAGCAGAAGGAGGAGACGGAGACAACACACAGGTAAGAACCAAACCCTGTGCTGTGAACGCTACATTCTTACCACTTGGAGCGTTGCCATGGACCAGCAGCAGCATCTGAGTGTTTGTTCGAAATGCACAGTCCTTGGCTCCAGAATCAGCATCTACGTTTTAATAGGAACGCAGAAGTTTTAGAAGCACTGCTCCATGTGGTGAGGGGCTGTGGGTAGCATGGGGTTAGGAGGAGAAGGACTGACTGGCTTAGAAGGTCAGGGAAGGCTTCCCAGAGGAAGTGACATTTGTGCCAGGTCTTCAAAGATGAGTAGGAACTTACTGGTTTGAAAAGAGGGGGAAGGAAATTCCTAGTAGAGGGAGCGGTAGGATGAATAAGTAGCTGACGGAGAGGGGAGGCTGAACTGGAAACATAGGCTGGAATCTGATTTCGACAGTAAGTATCTGCCATATTAAGGAACTTATATTTCTTTGTTCCCTAAGCATGGAAATCAAGGAAGGAGGGAGAATATTCTCCAGGCACCAGGCTGATGTTTAATCAGTGGCAGGGTGTTCAATGCACATTAGAGTTACTGATGACCTTGTTCACAGTGGAAATATGTTTTTGGGGATGACTAGTGATCTCCAGGTTTGCTCACCAAGGGTGGGAGTTTGCATGAATTTGAAAGGAAACAAAAGAAAATTTCAATCTAAGGGCACTTTTTAAATTTTCTTAGAGGCAAAGTAGCAACTGTTTAATCTTTTAAACAACCTCATGAAAAGCCAAGGCAGATAGAGAATACCTGCCACACTTTAACTAAAACTCAGTTCTAACTCAGGATCAACGGTCTGGTGTTCTGATAACGACTGTTGATCAGTGTGCCAGACCAGCAGGATGTTGAATCGTTGCCCAGGATCCTGGCTCTGGGTGTGATTACCGTCGTCGTGCAGTCCTAGGCCTTCCTTTGTCTTCCAGCTGGCTGGATCCGTTCAATGGTGAGCCAGAGAAACCCACAGGGCTTTTAAAAGTGGCAGAAAACATTTGTCCTACTCTACTATTATAATGATTATTGATTTCTTAAGTGGTCCTGTGTGTGTGAAATAAGACAGTGCATCAGATCTAGTATGGATAATTCAGGCACGTCTCACTTTTACAGATAAACTTGTCCTGGCACCTAAAGGTGCCTTATTGTATCAAAAGTCCTTGGGCCATTGGGACTATTAACTGGAGGGTAAAGTGTGTGAGAAGTAAAAAGCAGAGCATTAGCAGGGAGGAGAAAATCATGCTGCAATGTGCGGAAGTGGGGAAAAAAAAGTGGAGGCTTCTATACCAGCACCCACTAGATGCTGGCACCATGATGAATGCTTTACCGTGCTCTCCTCTTATTCGTTCCATAGCCTTACAAGATAGCTGTCCTTGGCCCCAGTTTCAAAGGAGGAACCTGGGGCTCAGTGAAGGTGGTTGTTAGGATCCCATAGCCAGGATGTGCAGAGCTTGGATTCAAGTCTACGTCAGACTTATTGTTGACCACAGTCCACTGCCCCCCACTTCCTGGAGTAGACTGCACTGTCACTCAGAAGTGTCTAATAGCCTGCAAGTTTGTCTAGCCTGGAAGATTGACCAAAACAGCAGAAGACACAAACTCCACATAGATAAGAGATTATTGAACAGTGATTGTTAAATTATATAAAATTTATAAATTATATAAGCATATATAATAATTATTTTCCTTTAAAAAACTTCACTGTACAAGAGCCTCAGCATAGGTTTTACACATCCAGCTTTTTTTTTTTTTTTTTTCCTGCATTGGGTCTTTGTTGCTGCGTGAGGGCTTTTCTCTAGTTGTGGCGAGCGGGGGCTACTCTTCGTTGCGGTGATTGGGCTTCTCATTGTGGTGGCTTCTCTTGTTGCAGAGCACGGGATCTAGGCACACAGGCTTCTGTAGTTGTGGCATGTGGGCTCAGTAGTTGTGGCTTGCAGGCTTTGGAGCGCAGGCTCAATAGTTGTGGCATACGGACTTAGTTGCTCCATGGCATGTGGGATCTTCCCAGATCAGGAATCGAACCCATGTCCCCCGCATAAGCAGGCAGATTCTTAACTACTGCGCCACCAGGGAAGTCCCCACATCCAGCTTTTAAATGCACTTAAGATGATCTGTTTAGATGTTTAGTTTGTAGTTTTTCCAGAACACAGTTTTCATGTCTCCATTTTACAGATGAATGAGTATTTCACATAAAGGCAAATCTATGGATCCATTTGGTTCCTTGAGACACTGGTAATAGTAGATCAGTGAGCATCTATCTATCACTTATTCATTAAAGATGCTGTGGATCTAAATCCTGGAAGAGAAACAATGAGGGACCCAGGTCCTGCTCTAAAGAGGTCTCTCTCCAGCAGGGAGCTAAATCAAACAAGTGAAGAATTAAGTAAAAGAGGTTTTTTGGTTTGTTTAATGTTAGTGACGATAGGAAAAAATTAGAGAGATAAAGGTTTTACCAGCCTAAATAGTATTCAGATGATACTTACTATAAAGACTCAGAAAGGAGTTATGGGATAAGGTACAGAAAGGTTAGGCAAAGCTTTGCAAAGCCAAACATGTCACTAAGTTTAAAAGGGAGATAAATGTTGAAAGGAAAAAAGAGGTTGTATATATTGGGCCCAAACAAAGGTATAGAGGAAGACGTATTTAGAGAAGAGTAAGTGGATTAATTTGAATTTGAAGAAACATTTGCAATTGGAGTACAGATTGTTAAATCAGAAGATGCAAGCCGGAGCCAAACTATGAAGAAGGCCTTGAAAGACCTATGCAGCAATTCTACTGTTTCTCTTTAAGTATGGCAGCCACCAAAGGTTTTTGTTTTTCCCCAAACCGTCCCAGTTTACCCCTTAACCCATTCCTTAGTTTGTTTGTCATCTTTAAGTGGGACATATCTGAGGGGGGGTTGTTTTCTCTTTTTTTTTTTCTTTCCACATATCTAGAATATAATACCTTAAACTAAGGGGAGAAAAGGAAATATTATCAACAGTAACAATCTAAAGTTTGTTCTAAGACAAACTTTGTAGTAGCCTTACATGAATAGATTTTTGTTGTTGTTTATGACTTTTCAGAATTACATTGATCTTTTCCTTAGGTTACCAAGATGTCCCAAGCATTGCATCTGTTTCATTTCCGATAACCTCTCTTTGCTTCCCTGTGTTGGATTTCTACATTGCATCTGATGCTTCTGTCTGATTTTCTCACACAGATTCTTTCATATGAATCAAGAAATGTAGAGTTGACAACTGTAAACCACATATATTTTGGATGGAAAATAAAATTATCATGTAACTAATTTTAAATGAGTCTTTGAGGTTTGGGATAACTGTAGGATAACCTACAATTGCAGAATAACCTACAATTATCCCAAAGGTTTTTGATCTGCCTGAAACTCTTCCTTCATTTTCAACAGTTGGTGCTGGAACAACTGGATATCAACATGCAAAAAAAAAGAATTTGGATTCCCTACCTCACTTCATATGCAAAAATTAACTCAAAATGAATCACAGCCCTAAATGTAAGTGATATAACCCTTAGAAGAAATCATAGGAGTAAATCTTTGTGATCTTGGGTTAAGCAGTTATTTCTTACGTGCAACATCAAAAGCACAAATGATATTGCACAGCAAAGGAAACCATAAACAAGACCAAAAGATAACCCTCAGAATGGGAGAAAATATTTGCAAATGAAGCAACTGACAAAGGATTAATCTCCAAAATATACAAGCAGCT